CCCCCGCCACATCCAAGCTCAAAACATAAGCATCTCTGTGCAGGACCTTCCTTGCCGGCCTTCCTGACCCTGAGGCAGCCAGACAAACCGAGCAATCCCTTCTATACGGCCAGTGGTTCGCATCCAAGTGCGCTCTCCATTCTGCCGCCTCCCTTGATGACATTGCCCTTGCCTTCACTCCACCCCCCTGCAATTCTTTTCGTAGCAAGGCCTTCGCTATCTCTCTTCTGAACCCAGGGGCCCACTCTGCCATAGCGGATGACGAAGCCGGCTTCGGCCATTCATGCCGTGCATCTCGCGCCTGCAAGTCCATTTCCATGTTCGCTAAGAAGGCTGTAGGTTTCTTCTGCTCATGTCCATACGCACCTTGGTCGAACTGGTACTTCACCAAGCCGAGGAGGGTCTCCAACTGCTCCATCAGAGGCGTTCTCCACACGGACGGGCAAATCTCCCACAAGCCATTTTCCTCATCCAGAAATTCACGAGGGTCATCAGGATGTTCCAGGCCAAACGCCACCTTGTCAAAGCTCCACTGGTCGCAATCTTCTTCTTCTTCGGAACTCGCCTCCGCGACTAGCCACAGCCATATCATTCTCAAGAGGAGCTTGTTATCCCCCGCCACGAGTTGCTGTTCTCCAGGACTCAAGTTCGGCATGCCCCAAGAAACCGAGCGGATCTTACTGGCCTTGGCAATCTCACGCTGTCGCCCATGCCCTCTCGATACCTCAGCAATGAAAACGTCCGACACGGGGGCCCTCCGATCACTCCCTTGATTCTTCCTTGCGCTGCAGCCCACAACAACAAGGCGTAAACATCCTTGCTCAGCACATCGGCTCCCTTGTTGATGTCCACCTCAAGAACTTCCCCGGCAAGTTGTTTGATCGGGTCATTCTTTGTCTCCTTGCCCGCAAAGAGATGGATAATCCAATCCTTGGCTCTCCACAGCTGCCTTCTCTTCGCCCGATTCATCGGCCACTTCTTCAACAGCTTCCAGGCTTCTTCTGGATTGCAGGGCATAGACTCCAAGATGCCAGCCTTGTCCTCCACGGGCACATGCTGCATGAACGGGGCCTCAAAGACAGCTCTCAGCCCTTCCGCCTTGTCACCGGTGCGCACGTACTCCTGGAGGTAACCCTTCCACCCACAAGGCTTCCGGTTCTTCACCGCCAGGATCGCTGCCCTGAGTTCCGCGGCCGAGTTCGCGCTTGCTTCCACAGACTGCGACTCAAGCTCTGCTATGAGGCGTAGTGCATCGCACTCTCTAACCTCCGGACACGAGGACCTTGTGAACACCTGAATCTCCGGACGCGAATCATGCCGCAGCCGGCACCCTCTGCTGTTCCAGACGAACTCATAGCCAAGGGTCTTCACCAAGGAGCCGAGTGGGACTATCGGCTGTGCCTCCTCCGCCAGTATCACCCCGCTCTGCGTTTGAGGAAGATCGACCTTTTGATCTCCGGCCAACGTCACCTCCGCCTTGGTGCAGCCTTCAAGCTCCTGCTGTGACATAGCGGGCCGCAATGCATGGGTGGCTCCTGAGTCCAATAGCCCCATTTTCTCATCTCCCATCTTCTGCTTGCAGGTGCCGATGTTCTTCAAGACCGCTTCCCAGTCCGCCGGCCTCTTCAAAGGTGGAAGGTCCGTCAGGCCGCGCCCAGGACATTGCAGCATCTTGAATGTGGGGCTCTTCTGTTGGCCTTCAATGAATGCCTTCATCATGCGGTGGGCATTCTCCAACAACTGGTCGACCGGGACGCCTTGGACCGGATCTTCTGCTGCCGATGTCGTCACTGACGTCGAAGCGCTCGAAGATGGCATCGTGGTAGATGTTGACGACAGGACTTCTGCCGCTTCCATGACCTTCTGGATCGAGGGTGGCTCCTGTCCTCCCTCTCCCTTCTTTGACGAAGCTCCACTGCCACCCTTCTGCGACGTCGGGGAACCCGATTGCTCCCCTCGTGACTTTGTCGGGCAGCTCTTTGACGTGTGTTGCTTGCTCCCACACGTCCAGCACCTTTCTCGTTTGTCCTTGTCCATCACATGCTCAAACTTGCAGCTCTTTCCCCTCCGACACCCTTCATCTGTTAGGAAGAAGCGGCAAGGTTTCTGCTGCCCAGCTCCCTGACCACCGCCTGGAACAGGATCACGAGGAGGTGCTTGGGTGTCTCCCTTCCCGCCGATGGCCTTCATTTTCGGCGTGGGGCTGTTGCTGCTTCCATCACTGTTGCCCTTCTTTGGTCCCTTCCTCATAGCCATTTGCTCGAACTCTGCCAGGTACGCTCTATGGATGGCCAGGATCCCTTCAATGGTCGGGGTTATGTCTACCTTCAGGTGGTACCTCAGGAGCTGCATCCTGAAAGTGACTTCTGCATTCTCCTGAAGGGGTCTTTTTGCCAATCCATCCAGGGCCTTCAGAAGGATCGAGGGGTCTGGCGTCACCAGGGCCAAGTCTCTTGCGCGTTGGTAAACCCGAAGCCACAACCTCAATGCCTCTACTGCTTCTTGAGGACTCCCTGCCGCTCCTGGCTCCTCCAACTTCTTCAGCAGCAGCGACTTTTCCGATGCCGAGCCTGGGCGATACAACACCATCAGCCTGCACAACACTTCCAGCGTCGACTTGGTCCTCGTAGCCACCAACTCCCGCTTGATCTCCTCCGGAACGGCTCCAAGGATCATGCTGGCTGCTCTTCGGTCCACACGCACCCATCGAGGATCCAACAGCTCTCTTGACGCCGTCGGCTTCATTGAAATCCTCACGAACTGGTCCGACACCTGGCACCGGTCATAGAAGTCTTGCGCTGCTTCCTTCAACAAGCCCCACCATTCCGCGGAACCTGCGCTAATGTCCCCCATGACATTCTCCAGGCAATGAAGCCAGTCTCCGAAGTCCACTGACGCCGAGTCGCTCACCTCCGGGAGCTTGGGGACGTCGACCGGTGTGCGGCCCACATCTTCATGCCCCTTAGCGCTTTTCCCCGAAATCACCTTCTCCAAACCCTCAAGCAACTTGGTAACCGTGTCCGACACAGGCTGCTGGACGTGGCCTCCCATAGATCCCGAGGTCCTGACCGGCTCCTTGGATCGCTCCACCACGCCGCCATCTCCACCAGCCTCACCGCTTACCCTTGGAGGCCCATCTCTTGGGAGTCCCCTGGCAGCGTCTCTTGCTGGTTCGTTGCGAAGATATCCCCCATAAACTTCCGGGCTTCCCGTAGGTCCTTGAGGCACCTCTTCAAACTCCACATGCTTCATCGATGGTGGTACCTGTGGCGGAGAACTCGAAGGCTTGAAGGGGTTATTCGGTTCAGTTGGGTGCTGCATGGCCAAGCCCGACACCGACGGCATACTTAAAGCTGCTAGGCCCGACACCTGAGGCATACTCGATGCTGCAAGGCCCGACACCTGAGGCATACTGGAGGCTGCAAGGCCCGACACCTGAGGCATACTCGAAGCTGCAAGGCCCGACACCGGCGGCATACTGGAAGCTGCAAGGCCCGACACCGATGGCATACTGGAAGCTGCAAGGCCCGACACCGATGGCATACTGGAAGCTGCGGGGCCCGACACCGGGCGGCATACTCGAAGCTGCTATGCCCGACACCGACGTCGCCCTCAATCTCTCCACTTCCACCCTCAGCTGACTTGCCTCCTTTCTGCTCACTTCCAGCTGACTCATAAGCCCTTGCATCTGCCGCTTGACCTCCGCTTCTACAACCTCCCGAGTGCTGTCGCCAGAACTCCCATCTCCAGACCGAGGCCCTCCTGCTCCCTGCCCAGCGCCGTACAGCAACGGAGCTCTTCCTTCCATGTCCTGCATTTGCTGCCACTGCTCACGGGAGAAAAGGGTCCCGTCCGGAGACGTCTCCGACGCTTGCGAACCCAATGCTCGCTGCCTCGGTCTCGACGGTGTCGGCGAAGGGAACGGCGATGGAGTCCATAACGGGGCTACCGCCTGATGCGACCTCATCTCCTGGAAAAACGTTCCGATGCGCTGCATCCAAGCCGGAAGGTTCCTCCTTGAGCCGAAGGCCTCCATGCTCCACGCTGCAGCTTCCGACATATTCGCGTCGGAGGTTCTCATCGCCCCCATCACCAAGGCCTGACCAGTCACTCCAGCTGCTTGCCCATTTTCCACTCCAGCCGTTGTTGCCATTCCAACAAACTCGCGCTGCTCCACAGGTGTGGGCGTCCAGCTCTGGTCCACTTGACGACTCGGGGACGACACCGCCATAGCCCTCATTGCCAACGATGTCTCACCAGCTCCTGCCACCTGAGACTCACCCATATCGCCCAGTCGCTGTTCTTGCAATGCGCTTGCGGTATTTGGGCTCATACCCTGCTGGGGAACAGGGTTCGTCTCAGCGTTCAGGGCATGTGCAAAGTCGGGGTCGAAACCAGCCATGGCGTGTCAATCGAATTCCTTTTCTCCACTCAGACAAAGCTGTCTTGCTGTGCATGATGGCTCCATGCCGTTGCTTTGCTGTGCATGATGGCTCCATGCCGTTGCTTTGTTGTACATGATAGAAATGGCCCAAGGGTCCCTGCGTAGCCCACCCCTTGATGTGTACAGAAAGAAAGCGGCGGGGTTGGGTCTTACATGCAGGTTCCCACTTTACAAGGCCTTCATGACTCTGGCGCATCAACAGTTTAGGGTTTAGGGTTTAGGGCCAGCCCAAGACCCCGACATTCACCGCGGGCCCTTTTCGGAGCAGTTTTGGGGTTTCGGCTCGTTCGTAATCGGGTGTACCAACGAAATATACCCAAAACAGAAGGGTGTTCTAAAACCCCAAACCCTGAACCCCAAACCTTTTCAACTCCCAAGCCACCCAAAAAAAGCTACAAACATGCCAGGGGGGGACCCTACTTGGAGGTTCATGGTACCTACTAACCAATTATAACTGTACTTATAACCCTACTGATAATAGGGATAAGTACAGTTATAATTGGTAAGTAAGTACCATGAACCTCCAAGTACACCCCAAACCAAACTGCCGGGGCACACAAAGCTCCGTGCCACGGTGGGGCTCGCGGCCCGCGAGGTGCTCGTCGGCGCCAAAAGCACCTCGGCAGTCTGAATATTTAGGGTTTAGGGTTTAGGGTTTAGGGTTTAGGGCTTAGGGTTTAGGGTTTAGGGTTGAGGCCTCATGGGTTGTAGGGTGCTTGTCTATTTACAATTTTCCATGAACCTGTAGGAAAAAAGGGCCTCAATGTAGAGGGGTTTTGGATTTCAGGGTTGGGTTGGGGGAGGTGGTTTTGGGTTTAGGGGGTTATGGGTTGGGGGTTGTAGGGCTTGGGGTTTGAGGGGGCTTAGGGGTTTGAGGGTTCAGGGATTTAGGGAGTTGGGGGGGGTCCAGGGTTTCGGGCGTTGAAGGGTGAGGGTTTAGGGGGCCAGGGCCATGAGCCAAATCCTAAACCCTAAACCCCTAAACCCCTAAACCCCTAAACCCCTAAGCCCCTAAACCCCTAAACCCCTAAACCCTAAACCCTAAACCCTGAACCCTCTCAAACCCCCTTAAGCCCGCTTGAGCACCTGAGGCCACTCCATGGTGTTGCTGCAGCTGGCGCCAGGCGAAGAGGGATGCCTGCAATCATTGGGGGGCTTCAAGGGGCTTAGGGGTGGTTAAGGGGTGTCTAGGGTTAAGGGTTTAGGGTTTAGGGGCTTAGGGTTTAGGGGCTTCTGGTTTAGAGGCTTAGGTTCAGGGGCTTAAGGGGGCTTAAGGGGGCATAAGGGGGCTTAAGGGGGCTTAAGGGGCTTAAGGGGCTTAAGGGGCTTAAGGGGCTTAAGGGGCTCAAGGGGCCTAAGGGGCTAAAGGGGCCTAAGGGGCTAAAGGGGCTTAATTCGCTTCAAGGGGGCTTAAGGGGACTTAAGGTGGTTTGAAGGGGCGTTGGGGCTTAAGAGCTTGTAACGGTTTACGTAAGAGTTTAAGGGTTTGGGGTTCCGCGGTTTAGTGTGCTAAGCTTTAGGGCTAAAGGGTCGAATGGGTCAAAGGTTTAAGGGTCTATCGATCTACGGCTTTAATAAGCTGTAACTTCAGCGTTTAAGGTCTTTCCCTTTTTTTTTGGGGGGGGGGGGGGGGGGGGGGAAGCTCTGGGCTGTTCAGCTTTGGGGCTTCCTCAAAAGCACTGCAGCCCCAAAGCCCCTTTACACCCCCTGAAGCACCCCTTGAGCACCCTTTCACAGAGTTAAGCCCCTTATAAGCGCCTAGACCCTAAACCCTAAACCCTAAACCCTAAAACCTAAACCCTAAACCCTAAACCCCTACCTCGGCAGTCGCGTCCCCCATCTCCTTGCTCCAGAGCGCCGCGAACTTCAACGCCACGGCGTTGTTCACGCCGTGCGAGTAGAGGCTGAACTCCTCACGGCCTGAGGCATGGCCAGCTCTCTGGCAATTTTAGGGTTTAGGGGTTTAGGGTTTAGGGTTTAGGGGTTTAGGGTTTAATTAGGGTTTTGGGGGTTTAGGGGGCCACATTATAAGAGGCACCCAACAAAGGGTGCCCTAACTCAGGGAAGCTACCGCATGGCAGTGAATGGAATCTCGCATTCCGAATCAGCTAGCCAAATTGCACCCCAAACCCTCTGAGGCCCACAGCCGCAAACCCTTGAATCTAGCTCACTAAAACATGGTAGCACGCGCGCGCTGGAGTGCCCTGCGTTTTGTTGGCATGCGTTGGGTGTGGTTAAGTTGGAAAGTGTAAAAAACCGAGGTTTTTGACTCATTCCGGTTTTCCGAACCAGGAAGACACGCCACTGATCCCTCGAAGGGCGGGCGCTTTTTCTTGAAAATGAGTGTTTCGCCTAGGCGGGAGCCTTGTTTTGAAAGGCAGGAAAACCGAAAAGTTGTGTATACCATGTTTTAGGTGTTTTGAGCTTATTTGTAAGGACTGCTTTCAAGAGAGGATTTGGGAATGTTTGGGCTTGGACTGCTTGGGGATGCTTGGGCTTGAAGGTTTTGGTCAAAAAGGCTTTGGGAAGGTTTGGGCTTGGACTGCTTTGGTGGGCTTGAAGGTTCAGGCAAGAAAGGATTTTGGGATGCTTGGGGCCGGCTTTTTTTCTGGGGGGAGATGCCTGCAGCAAGTGCTATGTATATTCGCAACATGGATACCACATGGATATTCCCAACATGTATATTCCCAACATGGATATTCCCAATATGGATACTCCCAACATGGATATTCCCAACATGGATATTCCCAACCCCCCACCCCCCCTCCCCCCCCCCCAGCCCCCCAAGCTGGAAACCCCCGGAAACGCAGGGCACACGAGGGTGCGTCCTACCTAAAACATCCCTCTAGGCCCGAAAAAAGCATAACAAAACCCTTCAAACCAAAGCCCCCTAAGCCCTAACCCCTCAACCCGACACCCTACACCTAAACCCGAACCCTCAACCCTAAACCCTAAACCCGAAACCCTACACCCGAAACCCTAAGCCCTCAGCCCTAAGCCCTAAACCAACCGGAAAAAACGCAGCAGCCGCTGAGGGTCCAGCTCAAGGCCTGCTTGGGAAAGGTCTCGTTGCTAAACCAGCGGTGCCAGTCGTAGCCTTGCCTTGGGTTTAGGGTTTAGGGCTTAGGGCTTAGGGTTTCGGATTTCGGGTTTGTGGTTTTGGGTTTAGGGTTTGGGGCGGGGTGGGGGGGCCTTAGGGGTTTTTGGAAGGTTTGGGTTTGTTCAAGGTGTTTTTTTGAAAGGGTTCTTCAGGGATCTCAAGGGCTTTAGGGTTTGAGAGATGACGGGCTACGTGCAGTGGCATAGTGTGTCTTTGTGCTGAGGGTTGGTCAGGGGTAGGCTTTAGGGTTTGGGGCTTAGCAGCGACATGGGATTCAATGGGATGGTCTTCAAGGCTAGGTACGGTGCCACAGGGTCCTACCAGAGAAGCCGATAACCCCCCCTATAATACGTCAAAAGCAATTTCTATAACCCTAAAACCCTAAAACCCTGGAACCCTAAACCCTAAAGCCCTAAAGCCCTAAAACCCTAAAACCCTAAAGCCCTAGAACCCTGAATGAACCCTACACCCCTAAAACCCTTACCCACACCTCCAAAGCCGACCGCACCTACAGCACGCCGGGCCACAGCCGCGCCAGCCAGGCGAGGCGCCTCAGCGCCAGGCCGTCCGGGGCCGGCGCGCCGCAAAGGGCGCCTCAACTTGGAGGAGGAGGGGGGGGGGGGGTGAGGGTTTAGGGTTTAGGGTTTAGGGTTTAGGGTTTAGGGTTTAGGGTTTAGGGTTTAGGGTTTAGGGTTTAGGGTTTAGGGTTTAGGGTTTGCTGTGATAGGGCGTAGATGCTGTGAAGGTTCGGCTTCGGAACAAGCTCGAAAGCTTCGTGAGGTGCGAAGAGCAGCTTTGGCCCGATTGTGGGGGGCGGCCTAGGCCTTGAGTTTAGGGCTTAGGGTTTAGGGTTTCGGGTCTAGGGTTTAGGGTTGGGGGCTTAGGGTTTAAGGTTTAGGGTTGCGGGTGTTGGGTGTAAGGCCTGGGGTTTAGGCTTTTAGGGTTGTTGGGTTTGCCCGAACTCCCCCTGAGGGCCAAAGTCCCTGGAACCCTAAACCCTCGAACATCCCTATCGGGTATCTTGTCTACCAAAAAACCCCCCCCAAAACCGCGCCCCCCCAAATGCACCCCTAAAGCCTAAACCTCAAATCTAGTTAAGATTTAACATGTAAACCACGACCCCCCTGAACCCTAAACCCCTAAACCCCAAAACCCAAACCCCAAACCCCAAACCCTAAACCCTAAACCCCCCCCTAAACGCGGCCCCGGATGCGTGGGCCCTTGGCCCGGCGCAGGGCCTGGAGGGCCCAAAGCAGCTCCGGCCAGCGCGCCGAGCTCCACGCCACGAGGCGCAAGCGCCCTGCGGGCTTGGGGCGTAGGGCTTGGGGTTTAGGGTTTGGGGTTTGGGGTTTAGGGTTTAGGGTTTAGGGATTAGGGTTTAGGGTTTAGGGTCTAGGGTTTGGGGTTTAGGGTTTAGGGTTTGGGGTTAGGGTTTGGGGTGAGGGTTTGGGGTTTGGGGCCCTGGGGCCCCTTTAGGGTTCAGGGTTCCGGGTTTCGGGAGTACTTCCTGAGTCAGACATTCAACGCGGGCTATCTAGGAAGATCCGGGAACAGACCTTGAACTATAACGCAAGGTCTGTTCCTTAACTGAGGAATCTTCGGAACTGTGGCAAATTCGGCCCTAAACCGTAAACCCAAAACCCTAAACCCCAAACCCTTCATCCTGAATACCGGTAAATGGGGTCTAAGGTCTCCCTGGGAGACCTTTGCCCTGGGCCGGGCCTTCGTCCAGCCTGCGACCCAGCTCCAAGACGAAAGCCTTTGCGAACAGCAAAGTGATGTCACAGCAATCCCAAACCCTGAGTCCCCCAAGGGTTCAGGGTTGTAGGGGCTGAGGGTTTAGGGTTTAGGGTTTTAAGGTCCGGGGCGTAGAGTTTAAGGGTCTGGGTTGAGGGTTGTAGGGGTTATCCCTTCTGGTTCCGCATGTAGTCCGATCGGGGAATCGAGACGCAAGGTCCGCAAGGTTGTGTTTGCTGGGGCTCTCAGACTGGACTTCAGTCCCCATAACCTTCCAGCAAAGGGGTGGCCTCAAACATTCCCTACTGCTTTAGGTCTTGGATTCTTCAAAGGGGGGGGAAAGAACCCAAAACCCCTAATGCCAAAACCCCCCCTAAACCCCTGAACCCTAAATAACTAAACCCCAAACCCCTAAACCATCGACCCCAAAAACTCTAGACCCAAAATCCCGAAACTCCCTAACCCCTACACCCCTTTAAAGCCTAAACCCACAAGGTATCTCATGAGATCAAGGGGCCTCAGCGGCCAGAAAAGCGCGACATCCGCGGTCGCCGGGCACTTTGGCCCGCCACTCCCCATATTGGACCTGACATGGGAGGCTTCCCTACTTTGGGGTTTAGGGTTTAGGGTTTGGGGATCTGTGGGATATGGGTACTCACTCGAATATTTTCCAAAAATAGGAGGGGGGGGGGGGGGTACCCTATTGGGGTTTCTATTTTCTATTTGGGGCTTTTTTAGGGGTTCCCTATTATCAGAAACCCCTATATGCACCCACATATTTTGGGCCTTTAGGCAGCGACCACAGAAGCCAGAGCTTGGTGTGATTTGCCTTGTGTCAAGACTCGCGAAGCGAAATCCGGAAGCCTGAAAACCCTGAGAACCCTGAGAACCCTAAACCCTAAACCCTAAACCCTAAACCCTAAACCCTAAACCCTAAACCCTGCTCACCTCCCAAGGGTTTAGGGTTTAGGGTTTAGGGCGACGAAGGGTCCAAGAAACAGCCGAAGTCTACTTGACTTGCTCACCATATAGCAGCCTTGTCATTGCTGTTACAGCAAAGCAAGTCTGTCATATGACTTCGTGCGAGTTGCTATGTATTTTGGGGTGTGTCCTACTTTCCTTAGAGTTTGGGGCGTTCAGGGCGTTTAGGGCGTCTACAGTAGGGCGTGTCGGCCTCGGACTTTCTGGACCCTTGCCGTGCAGTTTCGCGTTGAGGGTTTCGCGTGTAGGGTTTCCTGAGGCCCTTGGACCCTAGATCCCTCAACCCCAAAAACCCTAAGCCCTAAACCCTGAACCCAAAACCCCAAACCCTAAACCCTAAACCTTGAACCCCAAACCCTAAGGAAGCGTGCCCCCCCGCGCGCAGTCAGAGCCGAGCGTCCAACGCTTGGAGCGCAGGGAACCTCTTGCAGCACTCTCGCTTCACCAACTTAAGGATCTAGAGGGTTCAGGGTTTTGAGGGTTAAGGGTGTAGGAATTAGGGTGTAGGGACTAGGGTTTAGGCTTGAGGGTTTAGGGCCTGGGGCACGCTTTAAGGACATATAGGGCTTAGGGTTCCTGCGCTTCCTGGCCCCCAATAAAATGTGTCATTGTTCATCATGAGCGTGAAGGCCCAAGACCCAGCAAATTAAGAGCACAAAACTCCCCAGAGAGCCCATTACCCCTTCACAAGGCGGTTTAGGGTTTTTATTATTCAGGGTTTAGGGTTTAGGGTTAAGGGTTTAGGGTTTAGGGTTTAGGGCTTAGGGCTTAGGGCTTAGGGTCCGCCGACCCTGGCGGCGTGTTGGATGGGAAAAGGAGGTGAAAACCTCCCTCTTTCCCTCCTACCCCCCAAAACGCGGGGGGGGGGTGGGGGTCGGTGCACAATTTTTTCGTGGAGGACGCGCCACCCGCACAGCGTAAACAGGGGTTCAGCACGGGGGGTAGGGGCGCCCTCAGCAAAATCAGCGTTTTCGCACCCCCCCACCCCAACACCCCCACCCCCCCCACCCCCCCCCCACCCCCCCCCCACCCCCCCCCCACCCCACCCCCCCCCCCCCCCCCCCCCCACCCCCCCCCACCCCCCCCACACCCCCCCCCACCCCCCCCCACCCCCCCGCCCCCCGCCCCCCCCCACCCCCCCCACCCGGAACTGTCTTTTTGGCTTGAGCTTGTCCTGGTGCTACCCCCTACCCCCCCCCCAAACGATTCACAGAACTCTGCCGAGCAGGTTGGGATGATCTTCCATGCGAGCGGGTCTCAACTATGCTCCAGCGGGGTCGGCGGCTTGAGCCGGAGGCTCTTAAATTTAGGGCTTGAGGACCACACCCTGAGCCGCAGCGTTGGCCCCCCAAACCCCAAGCCCCTGCGTGTGGGTGATTCCTTCATTGGGACGCCTGGGGCTCCAAACCACAGCCGTGGAAGGCTCCGCAAGCCTTAAATAAACGCCAACCCTCACCAAACCCTCCTGAAGCCACTGAAGCCAAGCCTGAACCCAAAACTCTAAACCTACACCCTGCTTCAGGAGCTTGGGCAACCCTAAACCCTAAACCCTGAACGCCAAACCCTAAACCCTAAACCCTCAACCTTAAACCCTAAACCCTAAACCCAAACCCTGAACCCTAAACCGCCCTTGCTTAAGGGGGCACCTGGCCCAAAGGGAACCTGACAGTTGGCCGAAGCGCTCGGCCATCGCCTTGCGCCAGGAAGCGGGGTTTACGGTTTAGTTTAGGGTTTAGGGTTTAGGGTTTAAGGTTTAGGGTTTAGGGTTTAGGGTTTAGGGTTTAGGGTTTAGGGTTTAGGGTTTAGGGTTTAGGGTTTAGGGTTTAGGGTTTAGGGTTTAGGGTTTAGGGTTCAGGGTTTAGGGTTTAGGGTTTAGGGTTCAAGAGCTCCTGGTCGAGCAGTTTCTCGTTTAGGCTCTGTGTTTAGAACATCGCAAAATACCCACCCACCCGAAGTTCCCATAACATTAAGAAATAAAAAGTTTCTTCTTTTTATTAGGATGGTTCAATAACAAAATGAATGACTTCCACTTAACAAACGAGGAGGTGGAGATACTAAACCACGCGAGGCTTTGAGGTCTTGAAATCCTAAACTGAGGCTCAAACCTTGAAAAAATTTTTAGAAAATGAAAAAATAAAATCGAAAAAATGACCCCCCCCCCTGACCAAAATCATTGTGAAAAAGGTCGTGGAAAAGTCTTGACAAACTTGAAAAACACAAAAACCCAGAAAACGAGAGGCCACCCAGAACCCTCGATTTCAGTACTAAAAACAATTTGCATTTTCATTGCGGGTCTAGGCCAAGCCTGAGGTCCTTTTTGGGGTGTCTTTTGAAGCAAACTTTCCCTCTCAAGGGGGGGTCGGAGTTTGAGGCAAGGAGGGTCTCCAAAGACTATTTTGCCTTTAAAATCCAAAAATACGACCCCCCCTTGACCGAAATTAGGCTGTGAAAAGGTCGCGGGGGCAGCCCTTCCTCAGAAAAACCTAAAAAACATTGAAAAACCTTGAAAAACCCTGCAAAACTTGAAAAAACACGGCGTTGAGGCCTTGAAACCCTAAACACAGGCTTTGAGGCCTTGAAACCCTAAACGCTGGGCCCTGAAACCTAAACACAGGCCCTGAGGGCCCTGAGGCCTTGAAACCCTAAACGCTGGGCCCTGAAACTCTAAACACACGCCCTGAGGCCCTGAAACCCTAAACACAGGCTTTGAGGCCTTGAAACCCTAAACGCTGGGCCCTGAAACCCTAACCCTAAACACAGGCCCTGAGGCCTTGAAACCCTAAACGCTGGGCCCTGAAACCCTAAACACAGGCCCTGAGGCCCTGAAACTCTAAACACAGGCCCTGAGGCCTTGAAACCCTAAACGCTGGGCCCTGAAACCCTAAACACAGGCCCTGAGGCCCTGAAACCCTAAAACAGGCTTTGAGGCCTTGAAACCCTAAACGCTGGGCCCTGAAACCCTAAACACAGGCCCTGAGGCCCTGGAACCCTAAACACAGGCCCTGAGGCCTTGAAACGCTGGGCCCTGCAACCCTAAACACAGGCCCTGAGGCCCTTGAAACCCTAAACACAGGCCCTGAGGCCCTGAAACCCTAAACACAGGCCCTGAGGCCTTGAAACCCTAAATAGTGGGCCCTGAAACCCTAAACACAGGCCCTGAGACCCTGGAACCCTAAACACAGGCCCTGAGGCCTTGAAACCCTAAACGCTGGGCCGTGAAACCCTAAACACAGGCCCTGAGGCCTTGAAACCCTAAACACAGGCTTTGAGGCCTTGAAACCCTAAACGCTGGGCCCTGAAACCCTAAACACAGGCCCTGAGGCCCTGAAACCCTAAACACAGGCCCTGAGGCCTTGAAACCCTCAACGCTGGGCCCTGAAACCCTAAACACAAGCCCTGAGGCCCTGAAACCCTAAACACAGGCCCTGAGGCCTTGAAACCCTAAACGCTGGGCCCTGAAACCCTAACCACAGGCCCTGAGGCCCTGAAACCCTAAACACAGGCCCTGAGGCCTTGAAACCCTAAACGCTGGGCCCTGAAACCCTAAACACAGGCCCTGAGGCCCTGAAACCCTAAACACAGGCTTTGAGGCCTTGAAACCCTCAACGCTGGGCCCTGAAACCCTAAACACAGGCCCTGAGGCCCTGAAACCCTAAACACAGGCCCTGAGGCCTTGAAACCCTAAACGCTGGGCCCTGAAACCCTAAACACAGGCCCTGAGGCCCTGAAACCCTAAACACAGGCCCTGAGGCCTTGAAACCCTAAACGCCATGCCTTGGGGCCACCCTTGAGGCCCTGAAACCCTAAACGCCAGGCCTTGAGGCCTTGAAACCCTAATTAGGGTCTCAAGTGTTTAGGGTCTCAAGGGTTTAGGGGCTCAACGGTTTAGGGTCTCAAGGGCATTGTGGGCCTTGGGCCTTGCCCACGAATTTTTGGGCCTTGCCCACGAATACTTGGGCCTTGCCCACGAATATTTGGGCCTTGCCCACGAATACTTGGGCCTTGCCCACGAATATTTGGGCCTTGCCCACGAATATTTGGGCCTTGCCCACGAATATTTGGGCCTTGCCCACGAATATTTGGGCCTTGCCCGCGAATTTTTGGGCCTTGCCCACGAACCAGCAACCCCAGAAATTCGTGGGCAAGGCCCAAAAATTCGTGGGCAAGGCCCAAAAATTCGTGGGCAAGGCCCAAAATTTTTGGGCCTTGCCCACGAATATTTGGGCCTTGCCCACGAATCTTTGGGCCTTGCCCACGAATATTTGGGCCTTGCCCACGAATACCATTAAGGTTTATAATTATATGGTAGGAGAGGTTTAGGGTTTAGGGTTTAGGGTTTAGGGTTTAGGGTTTAGGGTTTAGGGTTTAGGGTTTAGGGTTTAGGGTTTAGGGTTTTAGGGTTTAGGGTTCAGGGTTTATGTTTAGGGTTTGGGTTTTGGGGCTTAGGGCTTTTTCGGCTTTTGGGGTTTGGGGCTCAGGGCTTTTGGGTTTTGGTGCTTTTGGAATATTGTGTGTAGACTTTTTGGTGGGTTTTGTGCACTACAAGAACGGTAACTGGGCGTTGGTGAGCAGAACACTTTAAAGGCTGTGTAGGGTGAGCTGGGTTGCTGCCAAGCAACTCAAATATATAAGGTACCTACCATGGAAACTACACTCCTTGTATTGACCCATATCAGGAATTTAGATTTAAGGGCCTTAACATCAACCCAGCGGAGGTTGCCCAAGAAGATCCGAAGCCTCAACCCGAAACCCGACTATTGGCCGAAGGCCCCTCCTCCTCGGGTTCCTCCACCAGAGAGGGCCAGTCATCCGGACCCAGCCAGCCTGCCCAGGCTGGGTCTGGTCAAGAAACCATTGCTATCCGGTTTAGCGCTTAGGGCTTAGGGCTTAGGGGTTAAGGTTCAGGGTTTGAGCAACTAAGGGTTCAGGATTTTGTAACGACAGCACATGGGCGGGGCGGCACCCAACTTTAGCAGCTACTGACTCGGTTCAGCACGGAACCTCCGGACGATGCTGCAAGAAGTCGCTCGATCGCCTGCCGAAGCAAGCCCTGAACCCTTAAACCTAAATCTCTAATCCCAAAGCCCATGGGACACTGGGCTGTGCCAGGCCCAGAGAGCCCCACATCCCGTGTTGAAGGAATATACCTTAAATCATATAATATAGAGAATTTAAATCATATGAAAGCTTCCGAAATTAGGGGGGTCCCTATAGCAAGGGGATCCTACTGGAGGACTATATTAGGGTCCCTCGTTTTCGCAAACCCCATATAGGGATCCTTACTAGGATTTAATCTAGACTCCCTAATCAAGGGAGTATCGGGCTCTTCAGGGGGGAGGGCTAGGTCGCCCCTCCAGACGCCTCGTCGCAAAGCGCTGTCACCCGCTGCTGCCCGGCGGCTGCAGCCAAAGCCACCAAGCCATTCAGAGCATAGGGGAAGTCCTCTCGTGGGATTGGGGATTAGGGGTTAGGGTTTAGGGGTGTGTGGTGCTGCATCCCGCATCCAATGCGCCTGCACCGCACTGCAAAGTCCAGTCCTCATGTAGGCTGGAATACGAAGACCTGCCATGTGTCCGGTTACGGACTACTGCCACATTTTCTGCGGGACGGTTGCGTCACGTCTGAGTCTGGCATCCCAACTGTGAACGTTAAGCCCTAAACACTGTAGCCAACGGCTTTGGGGATCTCATGGACATCAAGGGGGTTTTGGAGTCTCGGGGTGCTTGGTGTGGCCTGGTTAACGCTGCAGTGCCCATCCCTCCATCAGTGCACTGCGGGTGCCTTCCCCCCACAAAGTTGGAGTCCACCACCGGCGGATAGAACCTGGCTTTAGTGTTTAGGGCTGACAGAGTTCTGGACCGAACTTCCGCAGTGTCTCAGGCGCCCCCCCCCCCCCCAAAAAAGCAGCAGAAGGACCTTCCCCCAAACCCCCCCCTTGGAAGGCGCACTCGAAGAGCCGGCCCGCCAGGCCCTCGGCGCTGCGCTGCAGAGTCTGGCGCCAGAGAAGCTCAGAGCGGTGTGGGTATCGGGTTTTAGGGTTTCGAGACCCTCAGCCACCCATGGTCTGGAACCCAGAAGTAGTCTCCGAGCGCCAGAAGTCACCAGAACTCACGGCACTTCTCCCCTAACCCCTAAACCCTAAACCCTAAACCCCTAACCCCTAAACCCTAAACCCACCACACTTCTCACCAGCCTCGTTCAGCCAGCCGCCCGGCTGCACGGCACCAAGAGGCGGGGGCACCAGTCCGCGTCTGGCATCGCAGGGCCCCCCAAAGCGTAACATAGGGGCTTTAAGAATTGGAATCGGGTTTCAGGGGTTATTGACAAGAGGGATACCACTAGAAACTATTCCGACCCCTATAGTATGCCATCACTTTAGGATTTCAGGGGTTCAGAGTTTAGGGGTTCAGGGTTTAAGGTCATCCTAGGAAGCATCCCTACACAGTCTAATGGAATGCTGGGGGGGGTAGGCAGTTCTCCACACGATGGCCTTTTCGGAGGTCCCGCATATAACGCGGAGCCTGCACAACTCAAGGTGCCCAAAAAAGGAGGGACCCATAACTTACAGAACTGAACGGGAGGGAATCCATTACATGAAGGAGGGGAGGTCTGATATCGGGCATTGCTCGAAGAGATGCAAGAAAACCCGGGTTGCTGCTCATGGCATGGGCACGAAGCATAGCCGAGTTCGCAAGAGAATGCAGGCATCGGAGGTGAGGCAAGAATCTTATTGCTGGCAGACCTCAGCAGAACACTCAAAACCCTCAAACACACCACGATTCCTCGAGATGAACTTACACTGACACTCACCAAAACCATATGGGCATTTCCCAAAATAGGGGTACCCCCCTTATACCCCAAAAATAGAATAGAGCCCCCTGGGACCCCCAAAACCACCACCAAATACGCGCACAAGCACGCGAGTTATGGAGGCCTTTGGCGAGGGGCCAACCAGGTGCCACCCGCCTGCAATGCAAGGGTGTTGGAGCAAAGAGGTGAAGGCGGGTGGAGGTTCCCTAATCCCTCAACCCTAAACCCTAGAAACCCTAAACCCTAAACCCATTTCGGGCTGAGAAGTTGAGAGATGGCGGGGGGTTGAGGAGTAGGGTTTGGGGTTGTGGGGTTCGGGGTCTTGGGCTTTAGGGGTCTGTTGGAATCACCAGATCACACAGCCTTCCCCGCAGTATCAGGGCATCCAAGCTTGCGACAATAGTTTTGATTTAGGGTTGCTCCCTTATACTAACAGTCCTTAATCGGGATTATAGTACCCTACTCTAGTCCCTGCAAAGGACTGTTAGTTTAGGGGGATGTTTCCAGCCAATATCCTTGAAATCAGGAGTCAAGCCATTTCTGCAGCGCATCCTTGGTACGGCGTAGCAGTCAGGAATCCGAAACTACTGGTACCCCCCACCCCCCCAAAAGAAATCCCCCACCCTTGACCCTCCCAACAACTTGCCTGGAGAGTGGCCAGGCGCGTTTTGGCTTCGGCTGCTGCTGCCACGTCACAGGGCGCCCCTGAGTGGAGCAAACAGTAGGGTTTAGCTAGCCCTAAACTCTGTAAACCCTAAACCCTTACAGGGTTGCGGGCTGTAGGGCTTAGGGTCTAGTGGCCCTGTGCCGCCCCTCGACCGCTTGGTTGAACAACAAGTTTAGGTTTAAGGGTTCCGACATGTAAGGGCCCTGTAATGTAAGGGCCCCGCAATGTAGCAGCTACCCAAAAATGAACCCTCATTTTGGGGAGCAGAGGGTTTAGGGTTGATTTAGGGAACCTACCATTCATCAGTCATGATGCCTTTATAACCCCAAAACCTCTCAACCTTGCAAACTTACCCTAAACCCTAAACCTTAAACCGTACACCTTGCAACACTACCAACATCAACGTGCTAAAGAACCTTCCTAGACCCAAGAGTAACGCAGGGATAAAAAGGGTGCCCTTGTTGGTTTAAAGGGGCTTATAAGAGAACCAAAACTTTAAAAAAATGGAGGGCTTATTGGCTACTTCTGGGGGTTTCGGGGTTGCGGGTTTGAAGGTAATATGTTTTTAGTCGGTTCGGGGTTTATACGGTTTAGGATTGAGATGCGGTTTAGGGTTTAATGTTGGGATGTTCCCTTATACTTACGGTCCTGAATTGGTATTGCAGTACCCCCTCCCAGAATACCCTAGACCCTAAACCCCAAACCCTAAGGACTGTCAGCATAAGGGGGAACATTCCAAGTTTAAGGGCTTCGTCGGCTCATCTTCGCCTCCTGCAGCGCCATCGGCCGCTGCGAGCACTTCGGAAAGGAGCGCAGGGGAGGCGCCCAGCACCGCCGCGGCCTTTGCGGCAAGTCAGGGTTTAGGGTTTAGGGTTTAGGGTTTAGGGTTTAGGGTTTAGGGTTTAGGGTTTAGGGTTTAGGGTTTAGGGTTTAGGGTTTAGGGCTTATAGGGTGTATAGGGTTTATAGGGTTTATAGGGTTCATAGGGTTTATAGGGTTTATAGGGCATATAGGGTTTATAGGATTTATAGGGTTTATAGGGTTTGGAGGGGTTATAAACTTTATAGAGTTTAGGGTTTAGCGTTTAAGCCCGAAACAGATGCCAGCACCTCCCATGTCTTAGACTTCCTTAAGCCCTCCGAAGGCTCTAAACCCGAAGTTCTTAAACCCCGAACTCCCTCAACCCTAAACCAGAACTCCCGAACCTTAGGGTGTTTTAGGCTTTTAGGATTTTAGGGCTTTAGGGCTTTAGGGCTTTACCTGGAGTTGAAAGGCCTCGTCGCTCCGGAGGAGCTCCAGGATTGCGGGCCAATTGAAAGCCGAGGCCGGTCTGGTCGAGACATAGGGACTACTTGGAGGTTCATGGTACTCACCAGCCAATTGCAAGTGTACTCATAACCCACTTATAAGCCCCTTAGTGCCCTAATATGTTTATAAGTACAGTTATATAAGTACAGCCATAACTGGTTAGTAAGTACCATGAACCTCCAAGTACAAGGGTGGGTTTCGGGGTACCCAGTGACTCCAATATCCCTTAGTAAAGGAATATTCCTTAAACCATATAAGGAACCCTAGTGTATCTTACGGAAAATTCCTTAATTAAGGGGTATTGGCGTCTCTGGGTAAGGGGGTCTCAGGTACCGAAGATGCCCTGGATTGCGACTTTCTTAGCGTTGGTATCGGCCAAAGGATGCCCAGGTATACACACTCACCATAACTCCGCAGGCAAAATGGGGCAGACCTTTTTGGGGTCCTTATTTTATAGCGGAATCCTACTATATGGGCACTAAATTAGGGGTCCCTCATTTTCGTAAACCCCCGTAAACTTATCCCGTTGCGGCCTGCATGGCACCGGCCTGGGCACAGCTACGCAGGGACCACCCTAAACCCCTTAACTTAACCCCCTTAACCCGAAACCCATGAACCCCTGGACCCCTAAATCCCTTAACCCTGCTAAGCCCCTAAGCCCCTAAAACCCCTAAACCCTGAAACCCGAAGCCCCTAAAACACCACACCCCTAAACCCCCTAAACCCCAAAACCCGAACCCCCCAATTCCAATACACACCCCCTAAGCCGTGAAATCGTAGATCCCCTAACCCCCAACCCTAAGCCCCTAAACCCTAAGCCCCAAAACCCCAAAACCCTAAACCCTAAACAAACCCTAAACCCTAAACCCTAAACCCCTAAACCCCTAAACCCCTTCAACCCCCAACCCCAAGACCCTGTACCTTAAACGCCCTGACATCGTCGCTCCCTCTTGCATCCTCAGGCCGCAGCTGGCCACCCGGCACACAGTGGAAGGGGAGACCTGCACAAGGCACCTGGCACAATAGGGGGGGGGGGGAGGGTTTAGGGTTTGGGGTTTGGGGTTTAGGGTTTGGGGTTTAGGGTTTAGGGGTTTAGGGTTTAGGGTTTAGGGTTTAGGGTTTAGGGTTCTTGTAGGGTTTAGGGCTTCGGACTCTCCACATATGACCCCTAGGGTTGAGGGTTTAGGGTTGAGGCTTGAACCCTCAACCCACACGACCCTCAACCCCAAGTGGCCGCCCCCAAGGCTTTTTGGAAACCCCCTAAAGGCCCTAAGAACCCAAAACCCTTAAGCCTTAAACCCCTAAACCCTAAACCTTAAACCCCTAAACCCTAAACCCTAAACCCCTAAACCCTAAACCCGTACTAGGGCCCAAGTGACCCAACGCGGCCCCAGCACTGCTCGACATGGCCACTCAGCGGAACGCGGTGCGTCCCAGCTCTACTGCCAGATGGTGGGGGACCTTATTGGGGCGTCCTTTTTGGGGCTTAGCAGGAGCCCTAAACCCCAGACCCCTAAACCCTAGACCCCGAAACCCTAGACCCCCAAACCCTAGACCCCTAAACCCTAACCCTAGATGCCATGGGAGACTTTCTCGGCGACGTCGCTGGGCTTCGTTCTGGGGATGGGGCCTGGAGTGATGTTGGCCCCCTGGGATGATCCACAAACCCTGCGTGGAGGTTCATGGGCAGTTATAAGTAGTGTGGTTAAGTTGTAAAGATAGTTGCCGTACTTAGAACCCCTACTTATAACTACCCATGAACCTCCAAGTATCCCCTGAACTCTACACCATCCTTGCCACTGCCTTGATGGTGCTCGCCGTCTTTGCCTAGGGTTTAGGGTTTAAGGTTTAGGGTTTTGGGGTTAGGGTTTAGGGTTTAGGGTTTATGGTTTAGGGTTTAGGGTTCAGGGTTCAGGCATGACGGGGCTATTGCCCAAAGCGGTCTTGATCGCCGCTACATTGCGTAGGCCGACAGGCGAATTCGTCGGCAAGCAACCCCCGGGCATGTCGCGACGGTATTGAAGCGATGCCAGCCAAAAAACGATTCCCCCAACCCCTCCCCTAAGACCCGGCCCTAAACCTGAACCCCAAATCCCTAAAGCCCCTAAAGCCCCTAGAAACCCTAGAACCCCCGAAACCCTAAACCCTAAACCCACGTTAAACCTCTTCCCCAAACCCTCCGAGCCATCGAGCTGGCCCGCTTACACCGGGTGCGGCGCCTCTGCTGTTGAAGAAACCACGTTGACCCTTGACAACTTGTGGCTTAGGGTTCAGGGCTCTGAGGCTCCAGGGTTTAGGGCTCGGGGCTTAGGGTTTAGGGTTCAGGGTTCAGGGTTTAGGGTTCGGGTTTAGAGAGTTCAGGGTTTAAGGGCTCGTGGTTTCGGGGTTTGGGGGCTTTATGCAGTGGGAGCTAAGGCTTTATGGGGAATGCTCTCATGCTCGAACAGTGCCTATCAAATTTGGAATTTGGCTCGCCCAATCGCTCTCAAATGCAAAGTCAGACATTCAGGGTTCAGCGTACCAAGGAGTCCTGACATAAAGAATCCCAAAGCCGCATAAAAGAAACCCGAAACCCTAACCCCCCTAACCCTAAACCCTAAACCCTAAACCCTATTCCCTAAACCCTAAACCCTAAACCCTAAACCCTGAACCCTGAACCCTGAACCCTGAACCCTAGCCCTAAACCCTAAACCCCAAACCCTAAACCCTAAACTCTCAGACCACCTCGCAATGCATCTGAGGCGCAGACAGAGGGAGGACCACGAAGCGTGTCCAGGCCATGGCTACGCTGGCAGTTCATGGCCACTCTTTTTCAGGGAGGGGTTATGGTTTGGGGTGTTTAGGGTGTTTTAGGGTGCTTTGGGGGGTTTGGGGTGTGCTTTAAGGGTGTGTGTGTTTAGGGTGTGTTTTCGGGGTGTGTTTTAGGGTGTGTTTTGGGGTGTTTAGCGTGTTTGGGGTGTTTTAGGGTGATTAGGGCGTTTAGGGGGTTTAGGGGGTTTAGGGGGTTTAAGGCGTTTAGGGGGATTTAGGGGCTTCGGGCGTCTAGGGAGGCCAGAATCAGGGACCTGAGTGTGGGTTGCTGCCAGGGACTCCCGCAGGGAGGTCTTCGGCACCTCTAATGGGGGGTTGCATGTGTGGCCTGTACCCAGAGAGCCCAACACCCTTTGATACAGGCATATTACGTTTCTGCAACCCTTAACCCTAAACCCTAGTTTCTGGCTTACAGCAGTATATTCTTATCTCAGAGGTATGTGGTACACTCTCGCTGCCTTTGTGCGCAGCAATCGGTTGGCTTTTGGGGTGGCTCTGACTATCGGGACCTTCCTGCATCCATAGGGTTCAGGGTTGAGGGTTTAGGGTTTAGGGTTTAGGGTTCAGGGTTCAGGGTTTACGGAGGGTGTAGGGATGCTCTCACTTAGGATGCCGAAAGGGCGGTTTGCCCTTTAGGAGGTGACCATTAGAGCGCAGAGACTTCAACACCCCAAGCTAAGGAATCTTCCGTCAAATCCAAACCCCTAGACCCTAAATAGGGTCCCTGCTGTGAAGTCTTCCCGCAGTCAAGGGTATGCGGGAACCCCAAATCGTCTCCTATGCGAGCACTACAAGATCAGCACCCGAAGCCCCAAATCCGAAACCCTAAACCCTAAGCCCTAAACCCTAAACCCTAAACCCTAAACCCTAAACCCTAAACCCTAAACCCTAAACCCTAACCCTAAACCCTAAAACACAACAGCCAAACCTGGAGCTCTAAACTCGAAAACACCAAGCCCAAACCCTTAACTGAAACCCTAAACCCTAAACCCCAAACCCGAAACTCCCTAAACCCCTGAGCCCCAAAACCCCCAAGCCCGACCCCCCTAAAATGCCAAAACCCACGACCCTTAATCCTGAATTCAGTGGCTATTGGTCGTGAATTCGGGTTTAGTGTTTAGGGTTTGGAGTTTGGGGATTCGGGCCTATTGGCATTTTAGGAATTTCAGGGTTTGCACGTACAGGTTTACAGGTGGTTGTTCCCTGAGTTCACCAACACCAATGCTTTCTGCTGCACGGACGAAACGTGCTACAAGCCATCCTGGACGGCATTTGGGAGACGGCTTCCTGCGATGCGGCCAGTGCGCAGCAGTAGACTAGGCAGACATCACGCGCGAGATGCCGACGGTGACGGCGACGAGAAGGCCAACGCCTCGCCATGTCAACATGAATGTTCACTCTTCGGTCGCAACTGTCGAAGAAGCATGTGTTTTTGAGTAGTTTGAGTTCTCCCAAAACTCTACGGGCTCAGTGTATTTTGGGCCATGATCTGGTCTCGGACGTCTGAGGCAAGTGCAGGCCATGTAGGTCAAGCCCACCAGTGGGTGGTAGAGGAGGAAGGCAATGGAGATGACCAACGTGGCCAGCATGGCGGTCACCAGGAACACCGCCACGCCAATGACCCAACCCGCGCCGCTGCTGATGTAAGGCCCAAGGAATGGAACGATGTCCACGAAGACCTGCCGTCCCAAGCACACGACTTGGCATCCCAAGGCAGAGAAGCGGGTTGCGACGTTACACATCGAGCCCCGGGGGGGAAGCCCTAAATCCTAAACCCTAAACCCTAAACCCTAAACCCTACATGCAACTTGCAGGTGCAGGCAAAGAAGCCAGCAATGGCTGAAAGAGGGCGTAGGTGCCAGCATACAGCAGGAGCCAGGACAGCAGCCGCAGCCCCCACTTCATCATCAGTCCAAGCCTCTGAACGCGGTGACCGCTACACCATCCGTTCTTCGGTTTGCCTAGACCCTAAACCCCAAACCCGAAACTCTGGGCCCTAAACCCTGGATCCTCAACCCTAAACCCCAAACCCCAGCCCTAAACCCTAAACCCTAAACCCTAAACCCTAAACCCTATAAACCCTAAACCCTAAACCCTAAACCCGAAACCCTAAACCCTAAACCCTAAACCCCATACTAAGGGCCCTTGCAACATGAAAAGCCTGAACCTTAAATCGCCCAGCAGCAGGGCCAGCTTCTCCAAACACTCATTGGGGCTGCTGTGCCCGTGAAACGCAGCCTCCCAAAGGCTGACGGCAGGGTTTAGGGTTTGGGGTTTAGGGTTTAGGGTTTAGGTTTAGGGCTTAGGCTTCAGGGTTTAGGGGTTTAGGGTTTAGGGTTTAGGGTTTGGGGTTTAGGGTTTAGGGTTTAGGGCTTAGGGTTCAGGGTTTAGGGGTTTAGGGGTTTAGGGTTTAGGGTTTAGGGTTTAGGGTTTAGGGTTTAGGGTTTAGGGTTTAGGGTTTAGGGTTTAGGGTTTAGGGTTTAGGGTTTAGGGCTCTCAGGCTTTTTGGGACTTGGAGCTCAGGCCAGTTTTCAGGACGAGCTTCGAAGATCTGCGGCGGGGCCAAGTGGGAGAAGCACCTGGTGATCAGGTTGCAACCTGGGTCGTGCAGGTGGACAGGTCGAAAGCTTTGGGGTCTAGGTTCACTGAAACTTGAACGATTCACTTCACCACACTCGGCTGCATGCTGTTCCAGGGAACCTTTAACACTGAGCTGGGGTTGGAAACATGCCATACTAATTTTCATCAACCCCAAGCCCTGAACCCTAAACCCTAAACCCTAAACCACGGCAGCTTGAAGAAACGAGCTAGGCTCGCGGCAGCAGCACAGGCAAGCGAACGGGCCCGTGGTGCAGGCTTCCTGGGGTGCAAACTTATAGGGTGCTTAAGGGCGGGGTTAGGGTTCAGGGTTTAGGGTTTAAGGTTTCGGGTTTAGGGTTCAAGGGAGGTATGTAACCCAAGGTTCCCGAACACTCCCCAGTACCCCCTAAGGCTCCCTAAGCTTCCCTAAGGTTTGCTAGGTACCTGCCCCCCCAAGAACCCCCCCCCCCCTCCCTTAAGAACCCTCTCACAAACTGAGCATCCAAAGTGCGCCCCTTAAAGGGGTTTAGGGCTTAGGATGGAGGGTCAGTGCCCCCTAAGCCCTAGATCCAGAGTGAGGTTTGAGGTTTGAGGTTTGGGGTTTGGGGTTTGGGGTTTGGGGTTTGGGGTTTAGGTTTTAGGGTTTTAGGGTTTAGGGTTTAGGGTTTAGGGTTTAGGGTTTAGGGTTTAGGGTTTAGGGTTTAGGGTTTAGGGTTTAGGGTTTAGGGTTTAGGGCTTTAGAAGGCTGAGGGTTGCTCATGAAGCCCTTTTTAAGCCTTTTTCAGATGTTGCCTTCCAAGGCTGGCACCTCCCCTCTGACAACCCAGAGACTCCAATGCAACCCCTGAATGGGCTTCGGGTTTAGGGTTTAGGGTTTAGGGCTTAGGGCTTAGGGTTTAGCCCTTTAAACTCCTTATTGAGCAACATTCCTTAAAACCATAAGGAACGCGCCGATATTTTTAAGGCATGTTCCTCAATTAGGGGGTATTGGAGCCCCTGGGAGTATTCCTAAAATCCTGTTGAAACTCAGATACATAAATGTCCCAAGCTAAAGCCCTCAGAACCCTAAACAGCTCAAACAGCCCCAAGAACCCTAGACCCCAAACCCTAAACCCTGAACCCTGAACCCTAAACCCTAAACCCTAAACCCCAAACCCCGGGGTCCTCTTCGTACAGCTCCTCACCGTCCTTGGACCCCTGGGCCAGGAGCGCCTTTTGCAGGGCCTCTCCGGAACGGCCACCGCAGAGGCCTGCCACGAGCCCCGGGCGGGGAGTTTGGGGTTTAGGGCTTAATTAGGGGGTTTAAGGCTTAGGGGTTTAGGGGTTTAGGGTTTAGGGCTTATTTAGGGGGGTTTAGGGGTTTAGGGGTTTAGGAGTTTAGGAGTTTAGGGTTTAGGGTTTAGGGCTTAATTAGGGGGTTCAGGGTTTAGGAGTTTAGGGTTTAGGGCTTATTTAGGGGGTTTAGGGTTTAGGGGTTTAGGGGTTTAGGGGTTTAGGGGTTTAGGGGTTTAGGGTTTAGGGTTTAGGGTTTAGGGTTTAGGGTTTGGGGTTTGGGGGTTTAGGGGTTTAGGGTTCAGGGTTTGGGGGCACTTTGGGTGTTTTTTGGTTTTTTGGTGTTTGGGGGCTTTTGGTTTCGGGTTGTGCTTCTTGCAGGCACTGTCCTTGGTTTTGAGGCCTTTGTTGTAGGTGCCCTAAACGTGAAGGCACATACCAATACAAGTACAACAGTACAACATAATCTGCAACATTTTACTGCGATGTAAAGATAAGATAAGAAGAGGTAGTATCATATGTGTAAAGACTATGTACGTAATAACATCGGCGTCTTGTGCCTTTGTGGTTCAGCGCTTCAAGGTGAGCCTTTCAGGACAGGTTTGCGGGCGCGCAAGACTTTGCAACAAAACTTCAGTTTAGGGTGTAAGGTTGGGGTAGGGTGGTGGTTTTGCACCAGACAAGTGTCCCACCCATCTCCATCCAGCGCTCCTAAGGAACAGGCGAGACTTAGCACAAGCTGGTGTTAAACACTTGTGAATGGGCTGCTGGAGCTCGCAGATCGTGCACAGGCCTCGATAAACCAGTCGATAGGGCAAGAAGGTGGCCTCAAATTCGCATTAGGCCTACTCACTGCGCGGATACGGGCACGTTTGGCAAACAAACGCACAACAAACTTGCCCTCCTTATATGGGGGCTTCCGAAAGTAGGGGTACCTTAGTTGGGGTCCTTGTTATAAGGGGATCCTACAATTTGGGAGATCTATATTGGGGGTCTTTTTATTGTTGTAAACCCGAAACCCTAAACCTTAAACCCTAAGCCCTTATGGTGCATTCCTTGGAATTCAACGGGCAAGGCTCTGCATTTGCATGCTGCCGGTCATCCGTTTGCAGGGCGATGACCGACGCCGGTCCATCGGGCACGTACTTGAAGCAGGCGCGAACCTGAGACTGGGCCTACTTCACAGAGAGTTAGGGTTTAGGGCTTAGGGCTTAGGGCTTAGGGCTTGGGGTTTAGGGTTTAGGGTTTAGGCTTAGGGTTTAGGGTCCAATATCCCGTTGAATTCAAGGATATGCCTTACATGACACAGAGATCCTTGTTATGACTCCAGGCATGATATGTTTCTTAACGAAGGGGTAGTGGACTCTGTGGGGTCAGCCTTCAAAGCTTTAAACTCCATGTAACGCCACAAGCCCAGCCATCTTCAACCCTAAACCTCCAAGGCACACTACCAACTGTGGGTGATCTGGCAGCAGCTGCCGGGTAATAGAACCTCAGGCGGAAAACAATGATCTGCGGACCCTGACAAGTGACAACTCTGAAGCACCCCCCCTCCCCCCCCCTCCCCCCAACAGACAAAGCTGCCCAGTGCAAGCCTGATCATCAACTGCCAGTAGGATTCTCGAAAATATGGCCCTCTTACACCCAAATAAGGGAAATTATATAAGACATCCCTAAACATGGTCCTCTTACACCCAAATAAGCAAAAACATAAGACATCCCCAAGGGCCTACCGAGTCCAGCAGGGGCACCACTCCTCCGCTTGCGCGAACTGCGAGCCGTTGAACTCCACGACTTTGAGGAGGCCGTTGGCATCCTGCCAGTCGCCCAGCTGCTGCACCAACTGCTGGGGCAAGTAGTGGCTCTCCTCTGAACCCTAAACCCTAGACCCTAAACCCTAAACCCTAAACCCTAAACCCTAAACCCTAAACCCTAAACCCTAAACCCTAAACCCTAAACCCTAACCCTAAACCCTAAACCCTAAACCCTAAACCCTGAAGGCCAGGTTCCGGTTTGGACACCTTTTCATACCCCAAAAGGTGCCCTAAGTCAAGCAACTTTTACCTTTTACGTAGCAAGAGCGCATTTGAAAGAGGCCATATTTTTGCCTTCGTTTGCCATCATCCATCAACCGAAGCTGCGAAGTCCAACATCTACTACAGCAGACTTCAACGCATAGCACAGGTTGCATTCACGATTCGCCCGATGGCCGTATCACTGCAAGCCCCAGCGCGTACGTCCCTTCGCCAAACACGTCTTCAAAAGCTCATTGAGAAAGATGAAGCAGACAAGCCCTTCAAACTTCAAAAAAGCCAGGATCAAAAAATGCGTCCAAAAAAACGAGGACAGAGCTATTGAAGCGACAGCGCATCCGGCACAAGAACTAGGACACGTCCACACATAGGCAGCACATGCCAAACGCACCTATACGCAACAGGCAACAAGCCAAGGAGGCTAGTACCCCTAAACTAAGAAAAACTTTAATCCTGACCCCAATATAGTTTGCCTAAGGAGCAGCGAATCCGTAAATAAGGGCTCTTGGGTCGAACGGGTTTGTGATGCTGTGCCGCTGTGTTCTATCTGCACATGGCAACAAAGGCTTCTTAGGTACCACCAAACAGCATGGGTTTAGGGTTTAGGGTTTCGGGCTTAGGGATACCCAATTAAAGACCTCGAAGTTCAGTCGCAGCGTCACCATACTTGACGGTGGCGTTGGTTGTCTCTTCCGTGCCACAGCTCAGACCGGAAACAGATATCGAGTTGCTGTGAGACGGCTGCTGAAACGACGACGAGTCTATTTCCGAATCAGACCAGATCTTGTCGTACTCGTACCGCGTAGTCGTCGTCTCGCCACCACCCACTGAGTCTTTGGTCGTCTCCTCGGTCTTGGTCTCTTGCCACTGATACACTTGAACCTCGCTCTTCAACCTGACAAAGGGAGCACTTGGAGGTTCATGGTACTTCCTAACCAATGAGGAGGACCGTACTTTACCCCACTTATAAGCCCTAATATGGTTATAAGTACAGTTGTAAGTACAGTTTTAAGTACAGATACAAGCGGTTAATAAGTACCCTGAACCTCCAAGCAAGGATGGCGTGTCAAGCTCCATCCGGTTTGGTTGCATGTCAGCCAGTGTCGGCGATCATGAAAGTTCGGGTCTGGGCGGGGGTTTGCGGGTTAGGGTTTGATTAGGGTTTGTCGCACCCACCCCACCCACCCTCCAACCCCCATCAACCCCCCTCCCCCTCGCCCGCACCCCACCTCGCACCCCCTGAACCGGTACAGGCTGCCTACCCGAACCCTACACCCGACACCCCTCGCAACAGTACCCAGACTGTTGGGAAAGTTAAACTTGGGTGCTGGAGATCAGCCCTGAGCTACTTAGGCCTGTAGGGACGATATAGGGGTATATAGAAGGCTTATGTATTCCGGGGAATACGATGAAGGGTCCCTTCGAGAAACCCAAAAGCACGAAACGTCCAAAATCCCTATAAGCCCGAGGCCTCAGGCAGCCACTCTGCATGCACAGAACGGGGAACCGCCGGTCCTGGAATTTCCCCTACTACCCCTTCTATACCCGCTAGGTTCCCCCCTTAAGTAGCCTTAATTAGGCTTAAATATCCCCTGGGGCACCTAGGGGGGGGGGGGGGGTTTAGTAGTAGGGAACCCATGAATACTTTCAAAGAAATCAAAACTCCAACCTTGAAGTCCAATTTTAGGTCGAGTCCTTCATTGAGGGGGTATGGGTCTCTGTTGGAGTAGAATTCTCGGGTTCGCGGAGACTATGGAAGTGCATGTGGCTGCTGTGCCCGGCTTCTCCAGAAGAACTGGAAGACGTGACTTACTTAGGAGTCAGGGTTTAGGGCTTGGGCATACTAGTGACACTTTCCGCAACCACCTTTGACAACATCTCCTTCATCTCATCCATGCCTGTCGCGTCTGCGTCGTTTAGATGAACCAGCCTTTGTGCAGCAAGTGGAGACCCCGAAAAACGGTCAGATAGTGTTGTTCGAGCCTCTTCTACAAAAAGACGAGTGCATGCGCTGCCTTGATGTACCTGTGACTCCACAAATTCCTCTCCCAAGACTCTTCAAGAAAAAACACGCTACGTACAGGGCACAACCTTGAAGGATGGACAGTTGTCTGAGCCAACCATTCCAAGAAGTTCCGGTGGGTAGAAGCGGAAGCCCGGCGTATGGGAGTTTCAACCAGTCACACCCGCTAATAACTTAGCGCACTTCGCTTAAGATCACTCCCAGAAAAGTGACCTTAAACAAAGCCCTGAAACCAGCTTATTACACCTTGACCAAATGGCTGGCTTGTTCTTGGAAAGCTCAAGGCATCTTGAGGCGTAGGACACGAACTCATGAAGACCTTTATGTGAGGGTGTATGCTAATCCAAACACAGAATTCTTTGACTTGGTACCCTAAACCCTAAACCTTAAACCCTAAACCCTAAATCCTAACCTCTAAACCGGAAGCTTCGGGAGTTGAAGCTGAAGCCTTGGCTTCGTGAAATCAACAGCCTTCGACGCGGCCCACACTCAAACCAAAAGGGGGGGGTTCCGAAGTTAGAGGGCTCCTTCTTGGAGTCCCTATTATAAGAAAATCCTACCATTTTCGCAAATTCCCAAAGCGAGCGGCGTCCCGTGCAACGTCTCATCGACAGACCTTGGACTACGCAGGCCCTGCAACTAAGTGGGCAGGCTGCAGCCGCTGGACCATAGCTTCTTTTAGGGTTTAGGGTTTTGGGTTTAGGCTCCTTATGCAGCACACACCCTCGACACCCAACGGTCCAGCCAAACACCCTACATCCCGGACTGCTGCGGAGGAACTTCGAGGAAATGGTTTGGACCTGCATGCAAAGCAGGCATGCGTGACCCAGGCACCGGACAGCAATCAAGAAGCGCGGTGCTTCAAAAGCAAACGACCGGCACCACAAACTACGTAGCACATATCTCCGGGATTCAAGCCCCGAGTGGCTGGCTCTCACCAGTTTTTAGAGGCTTCATCCCCCTTTTACGCAAGTAGGCAGCACATCTCCCCCCCCCCCCTTCCGTCCCTTAAGCCCTCAACCCTAAACCCTAAACTCAGGGCCTAGGCCGCCCCCCTACAGAGGGGGGGCGGCGCTTAAGCCCTTCGACCTCCATGGCGAAGGTCGACCCAGGTCGCTTGCCCGCCTCCTGCAGCCAGGAGGTCGGTAGCACCCACGATGGGCCCGGTACCGGAGCAGGTTCTCCCGGGGACCAGTACTGGTCCCCTTAATAAGGTAAATACCCTAAACCCCAAGCCCTTCACCCTGGATGGCGCTGGCATTTCGGGGGGGGGTACCCCAAGGCCCCCAGGCCAGGAGGACCCGGACCCCTCACCGCAGCGTGTCCAGGGACCAGGGGGCCGCAGGCCAGGCTAGGCAGGGCGGGTGCTCAAAAACCTGTTTGGGGGTGCTGGGCCCCCCTGGCCCCCCTGGGCCCCCCTGGGGGCCCCCCTGGGCCCCCCTGGGCCCCCCTGGGCCCCCCTGGGCCCCCCTGGGCCCCCCTCAACCCCCCTGACCCCCCTGGGCTGTCCTGGGCCCCCCTGGCCCCCCTGAGCTCTTCTGGCCCTGGGCCGCCCTGGGCTGGACCCCTTTCACCCCCGAACTTCATGAAACTGAACAAGTTGTAAAAAATGAACTGTTGCCTTGAGTTTAGGCCTAAACCCTAAAAGGAATAGGTTTGGGTGGCTTTGCCGCCTTGGACGGCGTGGGGTGGGAGAAAAGTATTAGATGGCCCTCCACAATCGGGCCAAAAGCTGCTCTTCGCACCTCACGAAGCTTTCGAGCTTGTTCCGAAACCTGACCTTCACAGCACCTACGCCCTATCACAGCAAACCCTAAACCCTAAACCCTAAACCCTAAACCTACCCCCCCCCTGGCGCCGCCTCCGTCTTCCCCAGCTTGAGGATGGTCTCCTGGCTTTAGGGCTAAGGGTCCTCTATAAAAGGCTTCCATATGGGGCCTAAAAAAAAGCCTTGTCAAGGCCCTTAAAAGGTGCCTTAACGCCCCATCAGGGGCCTTTAAAGGCCCCAGGAAGTCTTCAGCTTCACCAATCCAACTGGTGCATCTCCTGCTGGGCATTTCTCCGCTCGTTCATCCACATCAATGCCTGTGACGCAGCAGGAGCAAGTAAGGCATGGATGGTATCAGGGAACACTGCGGCTTAGGGTTTAGGGTTAAGGGTTTAGGGCTTAGGGTAAAATCATAGAACCAAGCTGCCAGTGAAAATGGTATCATCGCCAGGCCCATAATCACACTGGCAAAAGCCTCACCCATCCTGGAAAGCCACGACCTCACAAAAGCGGACTCTTGTTCCGTGAAGCTTCAGGCATATGTCCTCATGCACGCATGAACCGTGTCAATGAAGTAGAACAGAGAGTGCAAGGAGTATAACCGAAACTCTACAGGGATCCTTATTGAGATGAATTTAAGGAATCGTCTTTCATCAAGGGGTATGGGGCTCGCAGGCTAGCACAAATGTGCAACTCGCGCCCCAAGTCTCGCACTTGTGCGTGACTGTCGTTGTGGGCGCTTGCTGCACTTTCTGGAGAAGCCCTGATGCCGATGCCTCTGCAAAACTCTGAGCAGCTAGAGGGTTTAGAGGGTTTTCTGGGGCTTACAGGGTTAGGGTATGTTAGGGTTTTACATGGCTTGCAGGGTTTGGAGGGCTTAGAGGGCTTAGAGGGCTTATAGGGTTTATAGGGCTTACAGGGCTTTAAGGGCTTAGAGGGCTTCATGCCTTCCAACGAAAAAAACAAAGTGGCTTGCGCGGCCTCCGGCAGCATTGGTGCTTGCACGGGTCGTAAATGAGACTTCAAGAACTCGCGGGTCTTGCGGGTCGCGATGTGATCCTTCAACACCACATGTTCCTGCAAACAAGCACGGGACTCACGAAATGTATGCAAGTGGCGACACCACCCTTAAACCCTTAAACCCTTAAACCCTTGAACCCTTAAACCCTTAAACCCTTAAACCCTTAAGGGCTAGCTGGGGTACGCGGCTCTGCAAAGCACTTCCTGCAAAAGCCGCTTGGACTCGGCTGCTGCGCCAGAGTGCAAATCTTGGACCTCAGGCATGCCCTAAATTGCTTCAGGCTTTCGAGGGGCTAGGGTTTAGGGTTTAGGGTTTAGGGTTCAGGGTAAACCTTGCTTAGGGCCAAAACCGACCCAAATCTATCAGGTTAGGAATAAATGACGAATGCCACGCACATCATGAAGTGATTGCCAACAAGAAAATACACAGACTACCGCCATTATCGGAAGCTGCGCGATGGAACTCATCATGACAAGTGCAGCCACCGTGCAATCTCTCGGCTTCCATCGGCGTATGCTGCGAGGACAAGGCTCAACAACAAGATCGCAAGCATGCCTGTCCAATGGCAAACTCCGGAATTCCGAGCGTGCGTCTCTCTTGCGTGAGTGTGCTTGGCATCTGACGTACGAGCAAACAATGCAACCAAAACGCCCAAGGCACTTCTGTGTGGAGACTGGCGCTGTCGAAATCGGCGGGCGAATCGACAGCCTTCGCATTTACGAAGCATGATCGATGCAGAGCAATGCACAGGGTGGCACAGCGGTCAAAGAACGCACATGCGCCACCGTGCAGCAGAGGCGCGCCAGGAATGGCAAACTAGTATAGGGACTGTTGAAGGGTTTGAGCCGCAAACACCACACCTGGACTGAAAACAGGAGCGACTTCTGCAAGCCCCCAACTGCAAGAAGGCTGGGGAGGGCCATGATGGCCACTACTTTCCGAATCCCTGGTCAGGGGCAGCCTTTTGTGCGCATGAAGGAATGGCTGCGAGCACGGCCCTGGGAGTGCCTTGTTGTCTCAGGCTTGCGAAAGGCTAAGGCTACAAGGACATCTGAGCTAGGCATTGAACAGCTGCAAGATGCTGTCAGATGCTGTAGGTGGAGCTAGCTCCAGTAAAAAGGCAACTCGCCAGCAGACCGGGCCAGAGCTTGTGGATCAACTGCATCCTAGGTCCTAGGACAACTTTCAGTAAGTGAGCCGAGCTGCAACCTTTTAGTCGCAGCGGCCCAAGTACGGGCGCATTCGGTGCATCTCGATATGTGCTACGCAGCTAGGGCGGTTGTTCTGGCTCACCCAGCAAGCCACCTGCGATGCTGCCAGCACTCCGCCCACATGTTGCTGGGGCTTGAGGGGGGCTATAGACCATGTTAGATGAAGCTCTACTCTAGTCAACCATAGCGTAATGTACGAATAGACGAGGCTGCACCTTCCTAAGGCGGAGCCTTGCCGGGCCCTCGCCCTGCCTCATACCCAGAGAGTTTAGACATGCCATGTTTCAAAGACTAGTGGGCGCGCGCCATTGCAGCATCATCACTACAGTGGTATATGACAATGTCCTATACTGCCTGCAATTTATTCCAGCATACTCTAGTATGGTGTACTTGCACTGTAGCCGCCTCTAGTATAGCGCATCATCGGCGTTCTCGCAGATGGTTGTTGCTGCTGCTGGAGTAGACGAAAGCAACCGCAACTCTGTAGCTACAGTACAGCAAGGCAGGGGCACCCCAGCACCACAGCCAGCCAGGCATCCCAGTGTGTGGACCTCAAAACTCCACCCCCCACACCCCACAAACCGAAAGGGTTTTTAGTTGGTGTTCTTGGACTTGCGGAGGGCTCCCGCAGCCGTTGTGGGCGGGGGAAGCTACAGAGAGCCCTACCTGGAAAGCGGAGGCCTGGAAGCATACATGGTTGCGCCCTAAAAGCCCCGTGTCGGCGCACCTCAACAGATACCAAGGCTTCCCGAAGAACCCCGGATCCACATGCGAACGGCCTGGATGCGCGCGCCGCATGTGAAACCTCGGCTTCTCGCGACACAGCTCGCACGCCGAGCTTGCTTCTGCTGCAGCGACACCCCAAGCAAAAAGAGGCCACGTAGTGTCGAGAAGAGTAAACTTCCACGGAAGACACGGCCCTGCCTTCAGAAGACCCGTAAAATCGCAGAAGTCGCCGGAAATTAGGGTCCGAATCGGATAAGACTCCAATTAATGGCCGAAAATCACGAGCAAACAACCCCCTAAACCTTGAACCCTGCAACCCTCAACCGCCGAAGCCCCAAACCACGAAGCTCTAAAACCCTCACCCGCGAAGCCCTCAAAACCCTCAAAATCAAAACCTTCAAACCCCTAAAACCGGCTCCTTGCCCCGCAGGCCCCAAAACACCTCTCAAAGCGCCCACAACACCTCTCAAAGTGCGAAATTCCCAGGAAACCTTCCCAGGTGTTGACCCTTGTGCACACTCCCTTCCAAATTTTGCACACTCCCTTCCAAAACAATCCAAAAACCCCACAAAAAAAAATGAAAATCCGAAAATGTCCCCCCAAGGCCCTGCCTGGCTTAGGTTTAGGGGGCGCCTTCCGTTTGCTGCAGGGCGGCTAGAGTTGCAGGTCGAGTGCCGGGAGGTGCTGACACGCGGTGGTGACGGCCTGCGGCAAAGACACCCGTGGAAGAAGGTGCCATCTACGGGGGCCCATTCAAAAATTAGGGCAGGGTTTACGGTTCAGAGTTCAGAGCTTAAAGCTTAGGGTGTCGGGCTTAGGGGGATACAAGGGGCCCGGTTGCTTAGAATGGGCATTGGAAATACTTCATGTTTTGCACGTGCAGGGACGACGAGCTAAAACTAGCGCATAATTATTCCGTCACCTGTAGTAGCTTTGCCATGCTTTGCCCTTGATGTGCTAGCTGTTCCTTGCTTCTGCTGCACTGAATGAATTGCTCAGGCAAGAACAACATGCAGCGCAACAAAGAACCACAACAAGACAGTGCAAAACCAATCGAGGTGGAAATCTGTAAAAGTCAATTTGTTTGTGGCATAGGTATGGTTTCTGCCTATTGCTTTCAGGAAACGCAACGCTTCCGGCGGACTGCTTGAATGGAGCCATCTCATTCAACTGCTGGCGTTGGACAACCCTAAACCCTAAACCCTAAGTTGGACCTCGCAGGGTTTGCTGCTGCCTTGGAGGGCTCTCAAGGCTTGGGCTTGAGAGATGAGGGACCCCTCATATAGACCCCCAAACAGTAAGGATCCCTGATAATAAGGACCCGAATAAGGTACCCCTACTTTCGGAAACCCCCATATTTTTTGGGCTCAACCATTCGACGCCATAAACCCGAATCCTTGGGCTGTTTGTGCCCCAACCCCTTGGACCTAGGTTGGTTCTTGTCTGTCCTGCCTCCTTCCCAGCCCCCGAAAAACTGCCGTGCTATACCCTTTAACCCGATGAGCCTAAAAAAAACACTACACCCCCAAAACCCTGCAAACCCTCTGAGCCCCCCTCAAAACCTTTTAACCCCGTACTTTGAAGCCCTATAAACCCCCCCCTACTCTGTCGTACGCTACCCGTACGGGCGGAGTCTGCGGCCTCCTTCCCAGCGGCTCCCAGCTCGTTGAAATGAAGAGTCAGCACCCGGAGCCCGGTGAGTTGCCGCAGAGCCGGAGCCAAGGCCTGGGTCTGGCTTTGGGCTTCGGGGCTCAGGGTTTGAGGCTTCGGGTTTGGGACGTAGGCGTCTTGGGCTGATTTAAGGCTTGGTCTCCAAATTAAGCTGAAGGTTGCAGCAGTAGCAGCAGCAATCGAAAGAAGAACAGCAACTTGCGCACTTGTGTCCGAGCCCTTACCTGACTTCCCAAATTCTAATTTCCTCCCGCCCGCATCTCCGGAGGCGTCTCCCCCCAGCCTTGGCCCCAAGGTCGCCGATGGAGTTCCCGTCGAGGTTCAGCTCCTCAGGAGAATGCTTCGAGTTTTGGGGTATGGCGCTTCTCTCTGCCTGCTATTTCCTGCCCATTTGTTTGCGCGCACCTTTACAAGCTTCTTGGGTCCTGCAGGAGCGGCCAGGAGCAGAGGGCGGCCCCCAGCGCCTGCACATGCCCGCTTTCACGAGATGCCACAAGAAGCTAGGGACAAGATGCAGGGCAGGGCAGGGCTTGAGGCTTGAGGGCCTCGGCGCCCTCGTCACCGAAGCCGTTGCTGGCGAGGCTGAGGTCCCGGAGGCGGCCGTGGCTGCAGAGCGCACCCGCCAAGGCCTGCGCAGCCGCGCCCGCACAAGAGCGAGCCAGGAGAGAAAGCTAAGGATATACATAAGAATAGACATGGATAGAGATCGATTCAAGCAATCATGAAGTCCCATGTGTGCAAGCTGCATATGGTTGTGCGGCTGCGCGTTCTTGGCCCTCCCACCCCAAGGTATCCCCTCCATGGTCTCCCCCCCTAACCGTTAACCCTAAACCCGGAAACGGAAACTCTAAACCCTAAAACCCTAAACCCAAGACCCTGTGAGCCCAAAAACCTGAAACCCTAAAATCCCAGGATCAAGCCCTCGCCCCACTGCAATGTGTGTGGTAGCCTTGCGCAAGCCAAGACCTGGGTGGCCTGCAGGCCAGGAAGGGGCATCTGCTCCGATCCCAAGAAGGGGCCCACAGACCCGCGAGAAGAAGGTAGACCCGGGGGGGAATTTGCCCCCGCCCACCCCTCCTCTCTTGCCTGCTCTACCCTACTTCCCCCCCCCCAAGCGTGTAGGTTTCCAACGTCCTTGTCTTCCGCCTTGACCACCCATCCGCCTCGTACTGCCTCGCCCACTGTACCGTCTGATCTTCAGTTAACCCCCATACCCCATCTGCCCCTTCTCTCCACGGTTTGGTTCTCCCCCACTCCGCGGTTACTCTGTCGCTCATCTCTTGCCTCGGTGAAACAAGAGAAAAAGCATGTTCCCCTTCACTTTCCCCACCTGGCAGGCCCCGGCCGAGGCTTGTCCCACAGCGTTAAAGTCACAGAATCAACACAATTCGACAGACATGTACACCGATGTCGGGAGAGCATCGTGCATGGGCTCCCCCAACCCAACCCAGGGCCTGCAAACCTGCATCGCCGATGCGGTTCCGGAAGAGCCACAGAACCTCCAGTGCCGAGTGGCCGCGGAGGCCGTCGGCGAGGGCCTGGACCAGATCCGCTGCGGAGTTGTTTAGGGGGATTCTCTGTTCAGTACTAGGAGTTGTACTTCAATTTCACGATAGAACATGCGAAAAAATGTGATAGAAGAGCGCACGCTACAGTATGTACGAAGCGAGCGTGCATGACGGACCCGCATCAGACCAGATCCACTGCGGCGCTGTTTGGGGGATCTTCTTCATCTACTCCTTCTGCGTGTTTTTATCAGCCTGTAGAGCTCTTCGCGCAGTACTGGTTGCGATTCCCGGTTGATGTCAGGACAGGTTGTTGAGCTCAAGAGGCTAGCAACTACTGCAGCCCACTGAAGCCTC